AATATGTAAAAAAATAATAATAAAAATAAAAATATATATATATATATATATATATATATATATATATATATATATAATGATTTAATCAAATGAGAAGTATTGTTATTGTTAAAACTAAAACAATTAAAAATCGTTCTTGATAATTGCAATAATGTTGAAATAAAACTGTTGCCTTTGCAACGAACTGAAATAAGTTTAAACTGAAGTACTAAAACTGAAATAAAAATAGAAATAGAAAAAAATTGTAATAAAAATGACAAAAGAACATAAAAACTTACTTTAAAATGAAAACTGAAAATATAAAAATAAAAGCGCATTCAAATTATGAATATATACTATTAATTAAACTATTAAAAATTATTAAAGGTGCATTATGTAATATTGACAGCTAGCGGTTGAAATGGGTACAGCAGTCCAAGTTCAAAATATTGTTTCTCCCGCCGTCTCCTCCTCAGATGCGACGCTCCAGTGAGTTGTCAGTTTAAAGACACACAACAGGAATGAGCGCAACTGACAATGGAAGGTGACGAGCCTTACACTATAAGTTGATGAGTTGATTTATCCTCGTTTTAATATGCCTCTGGTCTTAGAGCTTTTTAGATTGATGCCGAGGCTTTTTAGGTTGGGTAGAATCTGTGATCTCTGACTCAGTTCGTTTGCTGGCTTCCATGGCTGCGATACACTGTTTTCCGCTCTCTGGCAACCCGGGGTGACAAAATATTATTGGGTAAATTGGCAGTGGACAGAATCACACACACCAAAACAAAAACTGGCATTCCAAAACGGAATGCACATTTTCAAAGTAGAATAACTGGCTTTAGCGTTGTTTTTTGGAGAAACAAGTATGTGAACTTAGCATGTTTCCTAAATATCTGCGAATGTATTATGGTTGTTTTTGTGCTTTGGTACAGTCAAAAAATGACATACAGCACCTTTATTAAAATTTGTTTTTGTTAATTGAAATAAACCTGAAATAAAATAAACTAGAAATATTAAGATTAAAAACTTGACAACTAACCAAAATGTTAGTTTGGTTTAGAAAATGTGAAAATAAAATAAAAAAAGATAAAAACCAAGTCAAAAGTTTAATAGATATATTAACAGTATATAAATAATACTAAAATAACATTTGTAATGCACTGTGGGAATAAATTGCAGTGACTCGCTCAAAAAACAAAACAAAAAAAAATACTGAAGTTTTTAGTTTTTCAAAAATATAAAAGTGTAGCATAAAGTATCATTAAAGAATTCAAGATTGAGGTGTAAAAATGGGATTTACTTGTCAATGAAGTCATCTGTGCTTTTCTTTTGGATGTTGTCGGCGTGTCTGAGCAGCCAAATGATCTCATCACGAGCGAAGGAGAGAGCCATGAACACAAACAGAGCCTTGGGACCCAGTAAGCCTGGTTGGTCTGCTAGCACTGTAGCAAGCTCTTTCAGGGCAGATCTCAAGAACTTGCGGCGTTCTCTGTGCATGGAGCCCCTGGATGAAAGGATAAAAAATATAGATACTGTAAATATAGAGGAGGGACGACTGTTTTGGTTTGGTATCTTCAGAAATACAAAGTTACCACTTACACGTTGATTAGAAATTACTTTTATTAAAATCAACACTTACGCATGTGACAGAGCAGATTCTTTGCATTCACGGATGTCATTGACACGTTTGTTGTAACTGTAGAAGATAAAGAAAACAAACATATCAACATCATTATATATACACAACACAATGACATGCTTTATATGAAATGCATGAACCACATTTTGATAATTAAAACACTAAATTTAAGATGCACACAATATGTAAATTAATTCTAGAAAATGTGAGAATTTGTGTGCCGGTAGAAATCGCTGACCCGCGAATGTTTACAAAGAGATCCTCTGCAGCTTTGTGAATGTGGAAGACCTCGTCCCTGAACAGACAGAGACAGGAACTGCTCTGAAGGGCCAACTTCCACAGACTGAGAGCTGCGGGGTCAGTGTTCAGAGCCGCATGACACAAGATGAACCCGACTAGGACACAGAACAGAGAAAGAGACTCTTATATACCACATACACTACTGTTACATACAAAGACATTTCCTGTCAATCAGTGATGTGTTTAAAAACCAGCCCCACATAGAATCTGTGTCCACAGAATTGGAAGTAGTTCACAAATATTGTTAAATATTTTGTTTCATTTGACGATGCTTTAATATATTTAATACACTCTCCAATTTCCTTAAAATAAAAATGTGAGGGGAAAAAACAGATTCCATCTGGGCCAGTTAAAAATTGAACCACATCATGTAAATGTAACACTACTAAACAAAAAGACTAGTGAATTTCTTAAATCGATATTTAAACAATTGTAGCTTTGAATGATTGATGCATTTATATAGCGCTTTGTGTATTGCTGTACACCCAAAGCACTTTACAATCATGTGGGGGGGTCTCTCCTCAACCACCACCAGTGTGCAGCATCCACTTGGATGATGCGACGGCAGCCACAGGACAATGGCGCCAGTGCGCTCACCACACACCAACTACAGGTGGAGAGGAGAGAGTCACAGAGCCAATCAAGTGAATGGGGATTATTAGGAGGCCATGATTGACAAGGGCCAGTGGCGGCAATTTGGCAAGGAATTTTGCAGGGTTACAACCCCTCTCTTTACGAGAAGTGCCATGGAATTTTTAATGACCACAGAGAGTCAGGACCTCGGTTTAACATCTTATCCGAAGGACGGTGCTTTTTGACAGTATAGTGTCCTCGTCACTATACTGGGGCATTAGGACCCACACAGACCACAGGGTAAGCACCCCCCGCTGGTCTTACTAACACCTCTTCCAACAGCAACCTAGTTTTCCCAAGAAGTCTCCCATCCAGGTACTGACCAGGCTCAACCCTGCTTAGCTTCAGTGGGCAACCAGTCTTGGGCTGCAGGGTGATATGGCTGTGGTGATTTTCCTTCAATCTGAGGTATAACAACTATATAACAGCATTCACAAGAAATCTAACTTTGGTAACATCCATGTATGTCCAGAAAAAACGTATTTCAGAGGCAGAGAGTCATTACATTTTGATGAAAAATTAAGAAATTTTTTTGTAATTAATAATAGGGACACTTATTAAGAAAGTATAAAGAGTCAGTTTTAAATTTCATGCTGTCTTTAATAACACACTTACAGACGATCCATTTCTCCATGGTGTCCAAGGATAGGTATTCACAGGGCATCTGAAACAATGACCAGCAGAATACATCTGATCAAATAAACAATGTTCAAAAATCAGTCACTGGCTTTATTTCATTTCAGTTTGACTAATTTCAGTACTTCAACTTCAACTGATTTCTGTTATATGCCAAGACACAATTAAAATTTTTCCATCCAATAAGCTTTATTTCAATTACTGAAAATTCTTTTTAATAGTTTTAATTAACAATTACAGTGCCCCTCATTTTTAAGCACCGTAAGATGCTGGTTATGGCTCTTTTAAACAGCTTAATGATACTTAGTTTTGGCCAGAACCAAAGGCAAAACCACTGACATTAGTATACACTATGTGCTTGTTTGCTAACTGGTTAATGAGCTTAGCAACATGCTTACATCAGACTACTGGGATCAACAGTGAGCATTCATTTAGGCTTGTGTGCTTCATGTGAGGAACTCATTTATATGGTGTGCATGAGAGATGGTTAGCGGAGTTGCTACCCATGAAGAGAGTTTCAAATAAATCACCAGACCTGACAAGACAGCCGTGTATGACAACTGAACGTTTTGGGACTGATTACGAAAATAATTAAGGAGTATAGCGCATCCTGACCGTGTCAGACTGAGCTGGGTTGAGCATGGTGCTGGGAGCACTAATCAAACTGAGCAGTTGAGCGTTCCTCCACTGATCTGCAGACAGATTTCGGCGTGGGTACACCATCTGCAGGGAGACCAGTGCATCTTGCAGCGACTGTCAATAACAGAAAGAGGCAGAAATTGGCAGTGAGCTCGGATTAAACCATGTCCTCCATATGAGATGGGAAACAAGAGTAATAGGACTTTTATCTCATTGTAGCAGATTTTACTTTTCCGTGAGGGACAAACTCCTCCATCATCTTTTTCAGTGGGTTCTCATAATCCACAATCATCTGTCCAAGCCTGGGATATTCTCGATCACTGAACAAAAAAAAAAAAAATCATCACACAATACGTGACCTCAGCACAGTTCTGTCATTGGTCACATCCAAACGACAGCACAATACAATTTGAGTGTGTGGCTCTACATAAGATGCTACTTATATATGTATTACCTGGAACCGTGTGTCATTTCGTGGGCATAGTTGTAGAGGCCGATTATCGCTTTGCGCTCCTCAATTCGAGAAAGCAGCATCATCAGGGTAATGTATGTCACCACTAAATCCAGGTAGTTCTTTGTGAGGTCAAAATTTACAGTCTGCATTGTGGAAAAAATACAATTTGTTATATCTGACATGTCAGAAAATTCAAAGACATCATTGATTGCCATTAATTCAACTCACAATGTCAAAGAAAACTTGACAAGCGTCAATAGTGTTCAGAAGTTCACAAACGTGGTCCTGGAGGAACAGAAAAGCACAAATATTTAGGTTTTAAAAGACCCTCATTGTGTCTTTTATCAAAAATAAAAAGATTAAAAAAAACATACACAAATACATAATTTTGTATTGTTTTACTTAATAAACAGTATATTCAATATTAAATAGTATATATAATTACATTAAATTACAAGCTGAAATAAATGTAAACAAAAATGAGAAATGTAAACAAATTGGAAACTAGCTGAAATGTTATGAAATGATCAAAAATAAAAATAAATTACTAAACAAAAACTAAATATATATAATGGACATAAATATTAAACTTTATATATAAAAAATAAAAGCAAATTCAAAATATGAATACGAATCATATATAAACAATACTAAAATATCATTGTCACATATAAAAATACAAATCATGTATAAAAATAAAAACTACATCCATGGGGTCTTATTCATGGAAAAAACAGCAGAATTCATTTGAATAAGTAGTTTGTAAAACCTCTAACTTAAACTGCATTCAATTCATTTCAACAATTTACATGAGAATGATTTTATGAACATTTTACACAGAGATTCGTTCTGTTGGAGTTTTTTGAATGAGGTCAATAGAGCAGAACTGCACTCATACCTTAAATTCCATAACATCCACAAAGGTGAAGTAATATAGAGCTAAATTCTTCAGTATTTCTGACTTTTCTTTTTGTAGTTGTGCAAGCTGTTGCTGTAACATAAAAAACAAGTGCAAATTAAACACTGTCACATAATTGTGATATCTGACTAGGAAACTTATCAGCAGGGTTCACATTAGATCATCTGAACTGAAAAATCCACACAAATCTCAGCCTGCTGGATTTAATCTCAGAGCAGGGTTCAATAATGATGATGTGAGAGAGTTTCAAGACATTTGTCGGGAACGGTTACTTGCCCTTTTAGGACAGTTCTGCATTGTAACTTATGTTCACTGGTATGTATCTATTTTAAGCCTTGCAAACTTCAACATTTGGATTTTTGTGATGCATTTTACACTGCTGCTGTAAATTGTGTCAATTCAGGAGATTCTACTGTGATGAGAATTTGTCGAAAACTCAAAGACAGCGTTTCTCAGATTTGATTTTTGACAGTCAAACTAGTGAATGAACCCTGCATCAAGTCCTGACACGCACAGGCCTTTACCCTTTGTTTGTCTTTATTGTATATGCAACTTTAGAGCAAAAATGCATTACCGCTGCACCTGGGAAGATACTCAAAATAACATGAGTATTCTGACCTCATTTCAGACATGCACATCTTTATTATATGATGTCCTGCTAATACCATTATATTTTAGTGATGTTTGGATAATATTATATATTAGTTCAAAAAGAGTTACAACTCAATTCAAATAAGTCTTAAAAATGTAGTAAAAACTACATGATTTGTGAAGACTTTTGTCATTTCAGCAGTTTTTGCCAGAGTGAAGGGTAGTGCAAATGCGCTCTAGAATCAAGTTAGTGACAGAACTCTTAGTATCTATCAGGATTTCCAGAAAACCAGGTTAGAGCTAAAAGAGTTAATGATGCACTTCAGATACCCATAAAGCCCAATATCAGAGAAACTACGTTAAAGACAGAAGACACAAATTCCATCAAACCACACCATCCCCACCCTGCATACTTTTATTGGAAATATATTCACATCCTATCCAAATAAAGGATATAATTCCACTAGATAATGAGGTTACATGTAAAATGAGTCCGGTATTTAAATACTGTAGTCCTATATGAGGTAGAGGTGATTAAAAAAAAAACAGCAGAGAGGGAGATGAAACTGTAATAAGCGCAAAGACCTGGTACTGCAAGAGTTAATCTTAAAACAAACATGTTCAGGTCACATTTCACTCCTAAATCAAAACATTTAAATATATATAAAATACTTTTAGAACAATAAAGATGATATTTTCAATACAATTGGTCACTTTTTTTTTTTTTTTAGCAAATTGTGATTTCTATAATGGAAATGAGAATTTTGCTTTTTAGCTTTTATTTACATTTCTATATTCCCATTATTTAATGTTACTTTTACAATTATTTACTTTGTTATTTTTACTACAATAACAATAAACATCAATAATTCAATTATTTTCTTTTTATAAATCTGCATCAATTAAAGCCAGTAACACAAATAATATCATTTAAACAACTTAGCATTGTTTTTTTCCCCACACAATATTATTGAACTATAGTCATGAGGATTGGGAGAAAATGTCCTTAACTGTCATTAAATAAAAAAAAAAAATTAAACCACAAATATCACCTCTCACTGAATTCTGGGGTAAAATATGACCAGGACACATTCTTGGCAGGTTTCATGAGATTCTACCACAAAACCAAGCAAACTGTAAATCAAAGCTACACTTGGCATAGTTTGAAGTTCAAAAAGTTTCCTTATCTCCATCTCCGCTCTTTTCAGAGTAAAGTGTGTTGGGGCACAACTATGTGATACTGTGCACAACAGGCTAAACCTCATTTCAAACTTGTTTTGAATAGAGTGGATAAATATGTTGAGGAAAGCATGTAACCATGCAGTAACAGACTTAAAGGAAGCTCAGAACACATCCCAAACAGTATCACAGCTACTCCAAATAAATACAATTGACTGCCATTATATTTTAAGAGTGATTTAAAGGGTTTATCTGAGATTCCTTTTGTCCATGTATAGGTTACTGAAATACCGACATATATATATGTGAGTACAACTGAAATGTTAAACTACATATAGATAAGAGCAGGAACTAAATAAAGCAAATGGGACTTCACATGGAGTCCAAACTTACCAAAAGAATAATCCAGAAAATAGCCATGTTAAGCATGCAAAAAATGCAAAAAAAACAAGAAACAAAAAAAGGAAATATAAACAACTCTAAAAGGCAACTGAAACACAGTTAAACATGACACAACTCCACATCATTGCGAGAAGCAGTTAAACATCTTTAACACAAAGTAGAAGACAAAGCGGCATCTGAAATATACAACACTTAAAACGGACATGGTGGTTGGTTATTACAAAGAGACCAAAACGAAAAAAAATGAACACAAAACACACACTCGAGACATGGAATGAATATAAAAATCATATTGTATAGCACGCATGAAAAACATGTTTGGTTAATTTGTTATGAGACCATTCCATTAAATAAAGGCAAATCCAAGATGTCCTGATGCTGATGATTTTCCTGTTTTCCCAAAAAACACCTTTGTGGCTTATGAACAAGAACTCAGGCTAAATGTCATCTTTACCCCTTTTCCTCCAAAATGGTGCTGACTGACATTCCAGAGTTTGCTCTTGGATTTAGAACCGGCACGAATATAATTTACTTGACAGCCAAACGAAAATTTATTTAATCTGTTTTTATACCACCACATTGCTTTTGATATAGCATCAAAGGTTATGTAAACATACAACAAATTTATTGTCACTCAATTGTGTCACTCACATTTTTGTAAATGAAATTTTATTTATGAACAAATGGGGAAAATAAGTAGTGTCCGTTAACTGACTGTGCATCAAGACACACCAATCGGGTGCTTCCAATGTACGAAACTTTTTTGATTATAACGGGAGTGGTCTAGGTTTGAAGAAAATCCTGCCGGAAATGTACAGAATTGTGTCAGAATATGTACTGACACTGGCACTGGGATCTTGTCGGTGGAAAAGGGGTATCTGAGACAAATAACCAGGGAGAAAATTTACTTTTCCCCCATAGTAGTACAAGTCATTTGACTTGTGCACAGAGACCAGAGACTGTAATAGCAGGAATGCCAGAGAAAAACCAGTAGAGGTGTGAATCCTTGACATGCCTACATTCCTAAAGCAACATGGGCTGAATTGATGTTCCTAATGACGTTTCTTAATCTGATAAAACGTGGAGAAAAGGTGACTGCATCTTTTCTCTGGGTAATATGGATTGATCCACACAAAAATTATTCCACATTAAGAATAAATCCTATTTGTGATGATGTGGTCAAGTTAAGTGTGGCCAAAGGTTCCTGGAAAGACAGACAGACCTGGGAAAGCCCCTCTCATGGGGACATCACCTCATGTTCTGACCTAATAAAGCGGACACTACATCAAACATTTGAAAAATATCAAAAGAATTGGGCTGGATGACAAAACATTGTGTTTTTACAATGACCTCAAACTAAACCTCCATTTACCAACCATAAGCAGTGATGTTTGAATCACTCTCTGATGGTTAAGGAATGAGCACCATGGTAACCCATGAACAGCATGCTAAACATGCGTCAGAGATGTTCAGGGTTGTGGCAATGGCAACAAAGTGTTACAGAAAGGACTGGGCTTGGTGACTGTGGTTTTGGAGGGGGTATGATGCTAATCAGATAGGAGACTAAAACTGCTGAAACACAGAAAACAGATTATTGAGCACTTGTTTCACTACTACAACAATTGTCACCCAACACCACATACACTTAATATCAGATGTATACAAAGCTGTATATTTGCTAAAGATCTATAGTCATCAATATTACAAATTAAAATAATATAGCTCTCATCTAAAACAGAATTTTTGACACACCAATCGGGTGCTTCCAATGTACGAAACTTTTTTGATTATAACGGGAGTGGTCTAGGTTTGAAGAAAATCCTGCCGGAAATGTACAGAATTGTGTCAGAATATGTACTGACACTGGCACTGGGATCTTGTCGGTGGAAAAGGGGTATCTGAGACAAATAACCAGGGAGAAAATTTACTTTTCCCCCATAGTAGTACAAGTCATTTGACTTGTGCACAGAGACCAGAGACTGTAATAGCAGGAATGCCAGAGAAAAACCAGTAGAGGTGTGAATCCTTGACATGCCTACATTCCTAAAGCAACATGGGCTGAATTGATGTTCCTAATGACGTTTCTTAATCTGATAAAACGTGGAGAAAAGGTGACTGCATCTTTTCTCTGGGTAATATGGATTGATCCACACAAAAATTATTCCACATTAAGAATAAATCCTATTTGTGATGATGTGGTCAAGTTAAGTGTGGCCAAAGGTTCCTGGAAAGACAGACAGACCTGGGAAAGCCCCTCTCATGGGACATCACCTCATGTTCTGACCTAATAAAGCGGACACTACATCAAACATTTGAAAAATATAAAAAGAATTGGGCTGGATGACAAAACATTGTGTTTTTACAATGACCTCAAACTAAACCTCCATTTTCCAACCATAAGCAGTGATGTTTGATTCACTCTCTGATGGTTAAGGAATGAGCACCATGGTAACCCATGAACAGCATGCTAAACATGCGTCAGAGATGTTCAGGGTTGTGGCAATGGCAACAAAGTGTTACAGAAAGGACTGGGCTTGGTGACTGTGGTTTTGGAGGGGGTATGATGCTAATCAGATAGGAGACTAAAACTGCTGAAACACAGAAAACAGATTATTGAGCACTTGTTTCACTACTACAACAATTGTCACCCAACACCACATACACTTAATATCAGATGTATACAAAGCTGTATATTTGCTAAAGATCTATAGTCATCAATATTACAAATTAAAATAATATAGCTCTCATCTAAAACAGAATTTTTTAAATAAACAAATCATATTTCTTTTTATTTTCTCTTAATTACTGTTTTTATTGACGAACATACAGATTTTTAATAGAAAGCATAACCTTTGGAATCTTAAATTTATCTAATATATTAAATTAATTAACCATGATTAATTAAATGTATCAATAAAAAAGTTTGAAAAAAAGCAGCTTTTTACAGTGGAAAAGGGTTGACAACCACTGACAGGAACTATTCTCCAAGTTTGCTGTTAAACAACCACCAACATTGGACACAGTTAATATTATATGCATTTATAATCTTAAATCGATCAAAATCATCTAAAGTCACATTTGTTGAAGAGTTAATGCCATTAAGGAGTCCCTTTCAGCCTTTTCTATTTCATCAGCAACAGCGATTTTCATCCCATTTTTTGCACAGCCCTACTGAGAACAGTGCAAAATATCTGATATGATCCGGGTCACGGCACCAAATTTGAAGAGGGGTATATTATCTTGTGCATTGATGAGCATTCTTAACATTATGAATTTTGATTGATCTGATATAATAACAGAAAACAGAGGAAAAAACACCTTCCACTGACTGATGAAAAACTGGGATGATTCTTGGTAAACATGGTGATCAAAACCTTATTTACTGATGCACCACTGAAAGCAGTAGAAAACATGCAATACTTTCTTTCAACACTTATCTTGACTGATTAAAGGTGCTGTAAGAGGTTTTATAAAAACAATCAAAAACAAATCCACTTGCAGCACCTTTAGTACATCAAACATAAATTAGAATTAAAATCTAATACATGAGTGAACCATTATACAAGCATCAATATCATAACATTCACTCAGAGTCATTAAAACATACTTGATTCATAAAATAAACTTACGTTGTTGTTGCGTGTCTCGATGGCCGGGAATTTTCTAACGATGAATTTCACGGCTGACTCCAGGTTTTTGTCAATCAGGTAAGAAGGCTTTGCCTTGGGATCTCCACAGGCCTACAACGAACAGGGAAAATCATCACTGCTAAATGTGCAACCGCTGGAACAGGACCACTGTGAACGTGCAGAAAACTGACTGATATTCCACTGATCATGAAACAAAGATTCAAACTGTGTGAGACAGATCAGAGAGGATGAAAAGTGAGGTAAAGTGCAGGGATTTGATCACAGTTAGAAAATGCAGTGGAAGAAAGAAAAAAAAAAAAGAGAGCCAGAATGTTGAGACTGAAAATAGAGACTGAAAGTGAAAGAAGGACAGATAGAATGGAAAATAGGAATGGGAATCAAAAGGAATTTAATGATTCAATGGTCATCACGGTTTTTAGAACCCTTTAGGAAGCACAAAATAATTTATTCAAACTATATTGTACTATATAACGAATATACTTTGTAAAAATAAATAAATTTTATTATATAAAGATATAGACATATTTTTGACTCATTTGACCAAAACAATCAGTTCAAAAGAGTAATTCATTTGGGAATCAAACTATAACCAGTATTTATGATGCAAGAAAAAAAACGCATTGTTGATTTATTTATTTTTTTTAGCATATTGTTTTGTTGGGCACAGTGTCTCTTCACAATCAATTACGAAAGCAAACGCTATTTTAGTACATTGTTCAGGGTTTTGTTTTAAATAGGGCTTGGTATCGTGTTCGATAATTTTTAGGCACCGACTGAATTGCCTCGTTACTATTAAATATCGAATATATATCGAAATGTCTTGTCATTCGGTACCAAATTTCAATACCTAAGATTTTAATCTTGTCAACATCAGTGAGCCAGTAAGCGTGCAGCATGCTTGATGTGCCTAAATCATGTGCTGGTGATTAGGTGTGTTCGACTTAAAGCATCACTGTGCAGACCGATCGGTGTCTGACATCAAAGTACCGCGAGAGTGATTCGAAAGCATGAGGAATCGCGTGCTGTCTAATCGTTCTGCACAGCGCCGCTTCAAGTCGAACACACCTATTGGCTCTGGTGAGGCATCAAGGAACACGCGTTATGTGACCATTCACACTGTAGCATCATTAGGGATGGGCGATATGGGCTTAAAAATATATCACAATATTTCTGGTATTTATTACGATAACGATATCAATGACGATAATTCAGGGAATCCTGTTTCTTTTAAGAAAAGTATTATCTTTCCTATGTTTATCCAAAAAAGGGTGAGCATTAATGAGTTCACACATAATGTAAAGACTGTTTAAGTCATACTGGAAGCCGGAGGGCGCTCTTGCACAGAAACTCCGGATCCATAGCAGAAGTAATACTACTGACGATTAGTGATGGGAAGATCGAACCTTTGAGTCTCGTTCAGCAAAATGAACAAATCTTTTTACGAGTCATTTCATTCATTTTAGCAAAATATAATTAAAATGTTACGTGTTTCTTCCCTAATACGTCTACTAAGCAAACGTTGATCACACTACAAACAATACAAAACTGCTATAAGAAACAGAAAAGATTAATTAATTGTTTACCTGGGTCTTCAGTCTATGATTAGCTCACCTCAGCTCTTATCTGACAAGTCTTCGGGTTTGGGCTTATGGGGCTGTCACGTGATGAACGAACGACTCAGAAAAACCCGGCGACTCGAGAGATGAACTAATCAATTCTCTTTCCGGCTCAGACTGCATTGGTTAAAGCGTATGGGGCTGTCACGTGATGAACGAACGACTCAGAAAAACCCGGCGACTCGAGAGATGAACTAATCAATTCTCTTTCCGGCTCAGACTGCATTGGTTAAAGCGTATGGGGCTGTCACATGATGAACGAACGACTCGGAAAAACTTGAAGACTCGAACCAGGTGAACTACTTGACTAATTCCAGTACAGAACCTATAGGATGTTGCGCATGCGCGAGTGAACAAATCAGTCCCCGAGACGACTCGTTCTTCCCGAGTCACATTAAATATACGTTCAAAATTAACGAATCGTTCAAGAACGACCCAGCACTACTGACGATGCTCCAGGAAGGTATCCAGTTATTGCTGAATAAAACGCACAAACGGAGGTAGAGACATTTTAACTGATGAAACTTGAGGAAAATAAACATACGACTGCACAAAATATATGGTTTATCTGTGTTCTTCAATCTTGGGTAATTTTTATAAGGAAAGTATATTTATAATGCAATGTTAATCGACATGGCCTTTATCACTGTATATAATACTATCATTCTGTAATATGAAACCACGTCTGGTCACAAAAATAAGTATTTCAAACACTCAACTATGTTATTAAGTTAATTTGGAGAAAAAGCATGTCAAAAATTATATCTTTGTTGGACAACAGTTTTGTAAACAGGCTCATACACATGCAAAACTGTATCGCACACGTGCTACTGTAGTACATTTATTCAGACCGATTTTTTGTGCACTGTACAGCCCTAACCAAACCAGTTACAGCTCGAGCTCCTCATTTAGTGATATAGGCTGCTACTCCTCAATTTCACGTCCGCTTTCCGTGATATCGCACACAGAAATATGTCAACAACTAGACTTTATCTTTATTATCGCAGGAAGACTAATTCTTATCGTGTGGAGAATTTTTACCGGTATATTGCAAATAATAAGATACGCCCATCCCTAAGCATCATGCTACATAGGACAATTTATAAAATGTATACTATATCAAAACTCACTTTAAACCACAATCGAGTGTTTGTAATAACCTCCGATTGCGATCTAATGAGGGTTTTGGTCTGTTGCAGAAATATGTTATTTGTAGCCTTTTGTATTCAAGCTAATCGCTACACCTGCTTAGCATTTCTCATGTAAACACACTGTATTGTAATAGGCAGAATCTCATGAAAATCTCATTCAAATCATTATCTGTCGTAATTGCGCGTTTCTTAGCTTCATGTTTCAGCCCTGTAAATGTTTTCCTGGAAGTGTAATGCACGCTCGTCATCAGAGACAGGGAGGGTTATGAACACCTAATATGATTGACATATGAGCAGCGAATGAGCTTCCTCTGAGTCAGAACAGTGATCGCGGAAGAGAAAACACAGGCAGACAGCGCTGGAAATAGCTAATGATATCGCGTAAATCAGTGGAAAGTGAATAGAAATGATAATTCCATCTAAGCTATGCGTTTTAAAACGAAAACGCACTAGCATAAACATAGCCTAGGGACATTAGTCCTGAAGACATCATCAGTGAAGAGAGGGCTTGTCTTGAAAAAGCGGAGATGCTAATTTTTATGAAGAACTGCTGAGTTATTTAAAGATCTTAAGCATGTAGCAGGGAGCATCACATACTGACTTAAAACTGTTCATTTTGCACTGAACACTATTTGCACTGATTTATTGTGTTGGTTACATTTTGTTCCTTTGTGCAGTGGCTCAAGAGACGAGTCTAAGTCTGTAAAAACCCAACAAACTGAAAAAATATATAGTTTTAATTATGAGGTAATGTAAGTTTTTTGAGGTAATGTAATCTTGTTAAAATGGATTTCATAAAATTGGTATCGGAAAAAGTATCGTTCAGGAACCGGTATCGAAGTCAAGGTATCGGTCTCAATTTTTTGAACGATACCCAGCCCTAGTTTTAAAAATGTTAATGTTCTGGATTCCCAACCCTAATGGAAGGACAGATAAAAGGGAAAAAGAGGAAAAGAGAGGATTGAACACTCAGGATTGGACAGGATTGAAAATGTTCTTCAAACGGACTAAGAGCTATGTGAGAAGTTGGAGAGCAGTTAGTGGAACACGGACAGCAGTGTATGATCAGAAACAGTCCTGGAGAGAGAGAGCAACAGAGAGATGGTGGGTTTGCTGGATAGTGCGTCTTATTGGCTGGCTGTTCTGTAAGAGGTGAGTGTCTTACAGAGTGAAGGAGCTGTAACGCGTCAGTGGACGTGCAGTTGAGGCAGGGCAGTGTGTATGGTCACATGACACGTTACATGATGCTTTACATGCACCTACGGCTAACGCAGCATTGAACCTCAAGACCATTCCAGTGTGCACGGCAACACACAGGACTCAAGGTGCTGCAAGACAACGTGTTTTTTACAAAGCCCATTAGGTCGTTCCCAAAAAAAAGACACCGCATGGCTAGCAAACTGACACTCAGGCCCTGGAAATAATGCAAACCGGCAATCATCTCAGGGTAACAGAATGAAACCCACTAACATTAAATTTACCTTAATTGAATTACTCCTGTGCCCACTGATAATTTAACACAGCCAATCACAGTGGAGTGAGTAAATAAACCCAAAGAGAATCTACACACTATGCCTCAAAAAATGGCTGGTTATGTTCTTCCTTGTTCTTTATCGTATAGTTGACATCCAACTGGTGCTTTGAAGTTAAAAGCAAACTTTGTGAAAATAAGGAGGATGGTAAAAACAAAAACAAATAAGGGAAAAAATGGGGGGGGGGGGAGGGGGGGGGGGGGATAAAAAATAAGCCTCATGCATTAATAATATTATCCCAACAAATGTAGCAAAGGTTTGTAGTTACATATATTTGGCTGGGTGATAGTAATTTTTACTTTTGTCATCATATAGCGTTGATAACAGCAAATATTAAACATTTTAGGAGCAATCATCAGAAAATGATTATTTATTCATATTTCATATTGTACATTATTATGCTTAAGGGATTTTAGGCATCACAACATTATAATTTACAGTAAAAAAAAACATGGATAAACATTAATTGATCTGACATGGGCAAATTATTTATCTTTTAGTGTAGTTTTGAATTTTAACATGAAAAAATATTAGTATTTTACTAATTTTTGAATACACAAAGTAACAATGGCTGTCGAAATAATGGCTCCTAAAAAAAACTTCATAAGCTATTTCAGAACATATACATTAATTAAAATATACTGTCAAAACGCAGATAAAATCTTGAGATATAATTGAGAAAATGTTTAAGCTATATCACCCAGCACTCACCGCTCAACATCTGTAAGACTGGCATAAGGTTAAGACCGCAAAACAACAATCAAAACGAAACTCCCTTCGCTAAAGAAATAGAAATAAATCAGTTTAAAGAAAGATTAAACAGAAGAGTCCTGCAGGTGCTACAGTTTGGGAAGGCCCTTTTTTGTGAGTTGCGTACAGAAAGATCATGGGACATGAAACTGGTAGGAGAGCGGGGGGAAGGGGGGGGGGATTTTAGGAAGGTGAAAAGCTGTGCAAACCTTCCAAACTTGTCCTTGCTGGGGAAGCATTGTAACAGAAAGAGAGAAAATTACACATAAACACAGGTTCCAACGTCTACCATGCATGTTCACTTCAAAACAAATTAGCTTTGGGAACTAATTGTAAGTCGTTCCGGTTAGTGTGTTGGTTCGGGTCCTAAGGAGGGACGCAAAGGGGTCAGTTGGGTAACACAGTGCATTGAGAGGCAGTCGTTCCCAGAGCTAACACCATGCAGAATTCACTCCTCCGGGAGCAGGAACACTGTGGGCTGAGTTCAGAATTCACGTCCATGTTCAAGAAAAGACCAGGAAGTTGGTGATTAATCAAAGAAACATAATCCATGCAAGTAAAAGAGAACCAAACACGTTTGCAAAATGACTGAAATCAGATCTGAACTTAAAGAATGACAAACAGAAATACACTGCAAGAATAGAGCGAGCAAACAAAAACAGACAAACAAACAAAAATGTCATTATTATCTGCTTTATCTAATGCATCAAAGCATCTCATGTAGGGCTGCATGATTAATCGAATGCGATTGTAATGCGCATTTTGTTAAAAAAGCCGGTTCTGTAATCAGCAGGAAATCATCATCACGTGCTTTCAGATGGAGCAGAATTTACTACACATAGCCGTAGTTTACTGACAAGTTACGCAAAAAAAAAAACACAATAAAAAAATTTTAAAAACTCGCAGACGATTTTATTGCGCGATTATGAAATCGAAGAAATCGTTCGCGATAATGACAGCTGTTTGCATAGCTTCTCAGTGAACTACAGCTCTGTTTCACATGCTGCTCCATCTGAAAGCATGTGAAAATACCACATTTAATAACATATTTTTACTCCAAACTCACTTCGTAACGTCAGTCAAGTGTTTGAAATAAATCTTTCTGTGAGATGATGTGGCTTCTTACACAGAATAAGGCACGCAACATATTTCATAGTATTTAAGCAGCGATAAAGGCATTGCGTTATAAATATACTTTATTTTAATGAAAATTATAATAATAAGAACTCAGATAAACCGTATATTGCCGTAGTCGTGTGTTTATTAGTCACGTTGAATCAATGAAAGCAGTTGAATCTTCTGTTTATTCAGCTGCAGCGACAATTGAGGGGTTTCTTCTGCGAGGCGTATTTGGAGTTTTAGCACGAGAGTGCCCTCTAGCCTTTGGATGGAGATTTACTGCTGATCACAGAACCGTGCTTCACTGAAAGATAAGCATGACAATCGCAGCTTCGGTCGAATCGCGATCTCGATTCCATTTCGATTTATCGTGCAGCCCTCATCTCATGCACAGAATAAGACCAAAGGGCCAAATAGAGTGAACCGTCATAAACCGCAGACTGAATCTATTCTTGTCAACTTTGACTATCCGTGTCATTTCGATCTGAAGTAAAAGTAGGTAAGAGTACTAGATGATACATCAAGTAGAGCACGTTCATTTGAATTTAGTTTAACTGTTACTCCAAGAGGTGTAGCTCTTGAAAGAATAATAACATTTTTCCTATGTTCTGGATTTTATACACAGAACAGTTTCTATTGTCTCTTACACCTTTTCCACCAATATGATGTTGGTGCCAGTACAGTCACACAGAGGTCAATGTAACAGGGTTGTTTTGAGTTTGAGTGAGCTGATTTGAGTCTCAACAACAAGAATCAACAACAAGCTAGTTAACATTCTATCTTTCATTCCATTTAATTATATAACATTTTATTTGAATGTGTCAACAATCAGTGCTGTTTTTGAAGAGTGTGCATAAATTCACAAGGAAACACTAGTATGACACACGAGGGAACCAGTGATGAATCAAACATCAAATAAAGCAAAATGATAGGCAACAAAAAATAGTTAAGTACTAGTCATCAGATACCACGTATATTTGGAGAAATTGCATAGTGGGTAAAGCTGCTGACTTACAGGGATAGTTCACCCAAAAATGAAATTTCTGTCATCAATTACTTACCCTCCATTTGTTCCAAACCTGTATGAGTTTCTTTCTTCTGCTGAACAAAAAAGAAGATATTATGAAGAATGCTGGTAACCAAACAGTTGACGGTATCATTGACTTCCAAAGTATTTTTTTTTATTTTTAGAGATGCACCGATTGACTGGCCAGTGATCGGAATCGGACGATTTTTCACATGACCGGCCCAGAGCAGTGACCGGCCGGTCAGTCTCACGTCTTGCCGATTCCGAGCCGATCGTTTTATTGCCAGCGGCACCGACAATGACGTCACAGCCACGCTCACACTCACAGTCGCGTGTAAACATGTAGTTTCGTGTGAGAATGATTCTAATTTTAATTGCATTCAGTGTAAATGGCGACTGATAATGTATTTGTCGTGCCAGATGAGGCTTTGCACAGCCTGAGTGAGTGTGTGAGAGAGACAGCACTCACAAAGTAACTCACAGAAATGTATAGATGCATACTGCGGTAGTAAAAAGAAAAAAAAAAAAGAAGATATTTACAAAATATGATTTAGGTAAGCAACATTATACGGCCACGATGTTTCCCCGAATATCAATATCAACACGATTGTCACAATGTGACACTGATTTTATACAATAGTATTTCAATAAACAAGAAGCTAAAATTAAGTGACTTAGATTTTAGACAAAATATTGACTGTTTTTGCTCTATTTCGCTGACGAAAATAATTCAGATCAAAGCCACAGCAGAACTGTTGTGTGTCTCCGAGCAACACACAGCGGTGTTTCGTTACTTAATGAATCCACGTTTTTGAACGAATCGAGTGAGTCAATGATTCAGTGGCCCATTCATAAGGACAGTCACTTGCCTCGTTTCTGAATGAATCAGCCGTTTGAATGAATGAATAAATAAATTACTCACTCATTAAAACAGACATTTGCAGCCACCTACTGGTGGTTTAGTCATTTAAAATAGGGTTGTGACGGTGAGGAAATTTTCCCACCGGTTAATCGACGTGTGACAACACCGGTAATCACCGTGGGGGCGGGGACGTTCCCTCTTTTCCTCGCTTTCCTTCGCTTTTAAATAGCTTGTAAAAGCGACGTGCGCATTTTACTTTCACTTTGAAATAGCGGCAATTCGGCGTAAAAGCAATTTTTTATTTGTTTGAATTTTCCTCGCTTTCCGTCGCTTTTAAATAGCTTGAAAGCTACGTGCGCATTTTACTTTCACTATTGAATTAGCTAGATAAACGGCAAAAGTCAACAGGCTTTTCAAAATCCAAAATATTGCCAAACAGGCGTTTTTGCATCTCGTTTCGAAACTAAATAATCCGTGATCGTCTTGTCTGTCTCACCTCACTCTTCTTGTCAGTCAGCGACTCATACACTCTCCTCACTGGAGAAATTAAATCTGAACTGTGATGCGACTGTCATTCGGTACGCTGCATTGAGCAGCCGCATTCAGTTTTTAATTGTAGTGTCTGTTCTTTTACTGAACTAAATGATTTTTATCTCTATATTTTCATTTATAGTGTGTACAATAGCTTTTAAAACTAGTTGCAACTATTCGGATCGCTCTGTAATTCGCGAGGCTCGTAAACGTGGATCTCTGCTTTACAAAGGCCATACGATTCGCCTGTTTGACGACTACAGCCCTGACGTGTTGAAGCAGCGTGCCGAGTACAGAGGTCCCATGGCCAAGTTATACAAGTGTGGATACAAGCCGGCGCTCCTTTACCCAGCCAGACTTCGCATCCCTTTACCTAACGGGGAGAAGACATGGATCCTGTCCGCTTCGGAAACGATTAAATTTGTCCAGGACTCAAATACGAACTCGTAAGCAAACAAATTGACACACCTCTTATTCATTAATGTCTCGTTGACGCTGCTATTGAAGAGTTGGCCTCCTTTGTGTCTTAATTTCCTCATTCTTTTGTTGTTAAAGACCCCCTTTTCTGTAGTAAGTATCGCCCTATTTCGTTGCTGTGTGCAGACATTAAAATATTGGCCAAGATGCTGGCAAGGCGTTTGCAAACTGTTTTGCCTTCAATCGTCTCTACAGACCAAACAGGGTTTGTGAAGGGTAGACACTCTCTCCACAATGTCAGACGTTTATTTGATATTTTATACTCTCAACTTCAGCCTCCCCGGAGTTGGTTATTTCAATGGACGCAGAAAAGGCATTTGACAGGGTGGAGTGGCCTTATTTTTTTATACTCATTAAAAAGATTTGGATTTGGCAGTACATTTATCTCATGGATTAAACTTCTTTATGCCTCTCCCTTGGCCCGTGTCCGCACCAACAATGATTATTCAGATTATTTTCCTCTTGGACGTGGTACTCGGCAGGGCTGCCCACTTTCCCCGTTACTGTTTGCATTGCTATTGAACCACTGGCGGTGGCTCTCAGGTCGAGTCAGATGATGGGTATGTTCATATCGATATCGGAATTATATTGTATCGACTGAAATTAAGAAATATATTGTGATATAAATTTTGGCCATATCGTCCAGCCCTAGGTATCATAAGAGGGGACTCTGGGCATAAACTGTCTTTGTATGCTGACGACCTTTTACTTTTTGTTTCTGATCCAGACAGATCCATAACTCTTGTGTTAGACTTACTGAAGGAATTTGGGCAGGTCGCGGGGTACAAACTGAATCTTTATTAGAGTGAACTCTTGCCTATAAACTCTGCAGCTGCAGCCTATCCTCTTTCAAAATGGCCATTCAAGATATCATTGGACAGTTTTAATTATTTAGGCATCTGTGTTACCAAGAACTACTCTGACTTGTTTAATTGTAATTTTTCTCCTCTGCTGGATCGATTGACTGAAGATTTTCATCGTTGGTCTGTGTTGCCTCTTTCTCTTGCAGGTAGGATAAATTGTATTAAAATGAATATACTGCCCAAATTCCTTTATCTTTTTCAATGTATCCCAGTTTTTATTCCAAAGCATTTCTTGAATTCTCTGGACAGTTCTATTTCTCAATTTATATGGAACGGGAAAACTCCCAGAATGTTAGGCATATTGCAAAAAACTAAGGAGTTGGGTGGATTAGCACTAGCTAACTTCTT